GCTGGTTCTTTGAAAGATAAACAAGATACACGAGCCTTTAAAGAAACTCATCAAGAAAAAAAAAAGAAGAGGATCCAAATAAATATGAGAAATGAAAGAGAAGAAATAACAACTGATACCACAGAAATATAAAGTATTGTAAGAAATTACTATGAACAATTATATGCCAAGAAATTTGAAAACTTTGATGAAACGGGAAAACTTCTAGAAAAATATAATCTTCCAACACTGAATGAAGAAGAGGCAGAAAGCCTGAACAGACCGATAACAGCTGATGAAACTGAAGCAGTAATCAAAAAACTTCCGACACACAAAAACCCTGGACCGGATGCTTTCACAAGAGAATTCTACAAAACATTGAAGGAATAGCTAACCCCTGTCCTTCTCAGACTATTCCAAAGTGTCCAAGAAGAGGAAAGGCTCCCTAACTCTTTTTATGAGGACAGCATCATCCTAATCCAAAAAACAGAAAAAGACACAACAAAGAAAACTAGAGGCCAATGTCGCTGATGAACATAGATGCTAAAATCCTGAACAAAATATTGGCAAACTGCATCCAGTAATACGTTTAAAAGATCACCCACCATGATCAAGTGGGATTCATCCCAGGGATGCAAGGATGGTTCAATATTCACAAATCAATAAACATAATACATCACATGAACAAAAGGAAAACAAAAATCACATGATCATATCAATAGATGCAAAAAAAGCATTTGATAAGGTACAGCACCCGTTTATGATAAAAACACTCAGAAAAGTGGGAATAAAGGGGGCATACCTCAACATAATAAAGGCCATATATGAAAAGCCTACAGCCAACATCATACTCCATAGGCGAAAACTAAAAGCTTTCCCACTAAGACTGGGAACAAGACAAGAATGTTCTATTCAACATAGTATTGGAAAACCTAGCCACAGTGATCAGACAAGAAAAAGAAATAAAAGGCATGCAAATTGGAAAGGAGGAAGTAACACTGTTTTCATTGCAAATGACATGATAGTGTACAGAAAGCCCCATAGACTCCACCAAAAAACTAAGCTACCTAATAAGTGATTTTGGCAAATCAGTGGGATACAAAGTCAAATTCAGAAATTGAAGGCATTTTTGTACACCAACATTGAAATATCAGAATCAGAAATCAAGAAAAAGATCCCATTTACTATAGCAACAGGAAAAGAAAGTACCTAGGAATAAACTTAACCGAGGAGGTAAAATACCTGTACTCAGGAAACTACGAAACACTGAAGATATTAAGGAAGACACAAATAAATGGAAGCATATTCCATGTTCACAGATCGGAAGAATTAACATCATCAATATGTCCATAATACCAAAGCAATTTATAGATTCAACGCAATGCCTATTAAAATACCACTGACATATTTCACAGACATAGAACATTTCAAAAATTTATATGGAACCATAAACGAACCTGAATAGCCGCAACAATTTTGAGGAAGAAGGACAAAGTAGGAGGGATCACAAAGATGACATCAAACTATATTACAAGGTCACATAATCTAAATAGTCTGGCACTGGCATAAGAACAGACACATTAATCAATGGAACAGAATAGAGAGCCCAGAAATAAACCCATGTCTCTATGGTCAATTAATATTTGACAAAGAAGGTAGAAGCATAAAATGGAGTAAAAATACCCTCTTCAAAAAAGGGTGTTGGAAGATCTGGACAGCCTCATGCAAAAAATTGAAATTCGACCACCAGCTTACACCATACACAAAAATAAACTCCAAATGGATAAAAGACTTAAATATAAGTTGCAACACCATAAAAGTCCCAGAGAAGATAGCCAGGAAACTCAGATATTCCACGCACCAATACTTTCACCAATATGTGCCTTAGAGCAAGAGACATAAAGGAAAGAATAAACAAATGGGACTTAATCAAAATAAAAAGCTTCTGCACAGCTAAAGAAAACATCAGCAAAATGAAAAGGGTACCAACTGTATGGGAAAATATATTTGCCAATGATATATCGGACAAGGGTTTGATGTCAAAAAGTATATAAAGCATTCATATGACTCTACTCCAGGAAGACAAACAATCCAATTAAAAATGGACAAAGGATCTCAACAGACACTTCTCCAAGGAGGACATACATAGGGCGAGAGATATACGAAAAGATGCTCAGCATCACTAGCCATCAGAGAAAGGTAAATTAAAACCACAATGAGATAGCACTTCAAACTGGTCAGAATGTCCATCATTAACAAATCACAAACAAGAGTGCTGAAGAGGTTGTGGAGAAAAGGGAACCATAGTCCACTGTTGGTGGGAATGCAGACTGGTGCAGCCACTGTGGAAAGCAGTGTGGAATTTCCTCAAAAAGCTGAAAATGGAACTGCCTTTTGATCCAGTGTAATCCAGTCCTGCTGGGACTATACCCTAAGAATCCCAAAACGCCAGTTCAAAAGAACCTATGCACCCCAATGTTCCTAGCAGCACAATTTACAATAGCCAAGTGCTGGAAGCAACCTAAGTGCTCATCAGTAAATGAGTGGGTCAAAAAACTAGGGCACATTTACACAATGGAATACTTCACAGCAGAAAGAAAAGGAGAGCTACTTTTCTTTGTGATGGCATGGATGGAATTGGAGGGCATTACGCTAAGCGAAATAAGCCAAAGGGTGAAAGTGAAAGACAAATACTATATGATCTCACCTGTAAGTGGAACCTAATTAATAAACTGAACGAAGAAGAAAAAATATAACCAGTAACATTGAAATAAAAAAGAAACCGACAGTAATGAGAGGGAAGGAGGGAGGGGGGTAACAGGGAAAAGAAGGGGAAGGGTCGAATCAAGGAACATGTATAAAGGACCCACAGACAAAGCCAAAGTGGGGAAGGATTGCAGGTGGGAGGTGGGCGTGGGTGTGCCAGGGGAGAATGGTGGCGGGAAAATGGAGACAAATGTATTTGAACAATAAAAAAAAAAAGTTAATGTAAAGAAACAATAAAGCAAACTGTCACAATGAAGAGATCAGAATTATAAATCTACAAGATAAATGGGAAGGAAAACCAAACGCTTGAAAATGCACTGTGTAAAACTATCATAAAATGCTTTATTTTTAAAAATATTTATTTATATATTTATATATTTATTTATTTAATTTAGAGAGAGGGGAAGGGAGGGAGAAAGAGAGGGAAACATCTATGTGAGAGAGAATCACCAATCCGTTGCCTCTCGCACATGCTCTACTGGGGACAACCTGCAACCCAGGTATGTGCCATGATCAAGAATCAAACAGTGGCCTTTCACATTGTGAGATGATACCCAACCAACTGACCAACACCAGTCCAGGCTATCATAAAATGCTTTAAACAAAGGAATCTATTATTCAGAATTATAAAAATCTGTCCCTCAAAAATGCTGTAACAAGATCAAATACTTGTTTAGTTTTTTAAAACTTCTACTAAGTACCCTGGTCAGGTGGCTCAGTTTGTTGGAGCATCATCCCATATACCAAAAGGTTGCAGATTCAATTTCAGGTCGGAGCACATACCTAGGTTTGGTATTCAATCGCCAGTCAAGATGTGTAAAGGAAGAAACTGATTGATGGTTCTCTGCCACGTCGATGTTTCTCCCTCTCTCTCCTTTCCTCTATCTCTCAAATCAATGAACAGGTCCTGGCTGGTGTGGCTCAGTGGATCTAGTGCTGACCTGCAAACTGAAATGTCACTGGTTTAATTCCCAGTGAGGGCACATACCTGTGTCACGAGCCAGGTCCCCAGTTGAAGGCATTCGAGAGGCAACCAATTGATGTCTCTCTCCCTCTCTTTCTCCCTTTCCCCCTCTCTAAAAATAAATAAATAAAATCTTTAAAAAGAATAAAATCAATGAATACCCCTGGCTTGTGTGGCTCAGCTGGTTGGAGCATCATCTGGTAAACCGAAAGGTCCCAGGTTCATTTCCAATCAGGGCACAAGCCTAGGTTGAGAGTTCTGTCTGCACGCGGACCATAGGAGTGGCAAAAGATGGATGTTTCTCTCTCTTCCTTCCCTCTCTTTAAAATCAATAAGCATGTCCTTGGGTAAGGATACAGAAAAATAAAATAAATGAATTAAAATCAATGAACATATCCTCAGGTGAGGATTAAAAAAAAACTTCTACAGAGTATTCAAGAATAAGATGTAAAACACTATCAATTTTCATTAAAATAAAACGAAGCAAATGAAATTTAAGCTATATATTTTTAAAAATAATTCTTGGAGGGAAGGTGGAGACAAATGTATTTGAACAATAAAAAAATAAAATTAAAAAGAAATTCTTGGAGAACACTAGAACACATTACCAAAGAATATTACAAAATTACATATTACCAAAGAATATTACAAAATTGGATTCTCTGATTCTTTTGAATTTAACACTTAACTGTAATAATGAGAATCAAGGGAGAAAAAGCAGTATTTTCAACAAATGATGCCCATTCTCTCCCACTCCTACCCACACACACATACACTACACAAGGACAATCCTACTAGGTATGACATAGATCACCTCCAAGAGCTTAGGGCAATGGTCAGATTATTAAGGAAATCTATCTATATTTTGGCACATAGTGTTTATAAACTTTAGAATGTGATATCAAAGAAGGGTAAAATGTTGCTCTTTGCTGTTACAGAAATATCCCTGAATTGGTTCAGTCAGTAACCTCAGTCATTCTTTACTTATATACAGGGGTGGGCAGAAGTAGGTTTACAGTTCTAATACAAATAAATAACACAATGATTAATAAATAATAACACAAGAATAAACTCTGTTTTGCTTACTCACAACTGTAAACCTACTTTTGCCAATCTCTGTATAGTTCTAGTTCAGGAGAATTATCTACTTAAGGAAATTAAAATTTTAAAAAGAAAGTGTTTAATAGTTTGAGACAAACTGTCATAAACATGTGTTAGCATATGTAAATAAAATGTACAAAGAACAATAGCCTTTAAAAATGTATCTAACAAAAAACTTATTTATACCTACCTGTTACTTCTTTTAACTGATTTGTTCTGCCATGGTGGATCTATCACAATCACATCATATGTTTTCCCACCTAAGAACAAAAACACACTTCTAGAGACTACCTTCTGCATGTGATCACTTTAAAAACTAAACACGTTCTTTAAAACTGGAGAGCATTCACTATAAACATAAATATAATGCAATGCAACAAAGAATTTGTGGCATTTATTCAAACAGAATAACTTATCTAAACATATTAAGAGATTTTCCCTTTAATTTAGTACTGCTGGGATTTTAACATGATTTCACCTACCACTATTTTTACATAGACTACTGAAAATAACTACAACTCACTTAGGTGGACACCAATGATTTTTTTTTTAATTAATTGATTTTGTAGGGAGAGGGGGGAGAGAGAGAAAATCATTGATTTGTCATTCCACTTAGTTATGCATTCATTGGTTGCTTTTTGTACATGCCCTGACTGGGGATCAAATCCCACAACCCTGGTATATCAGGGCGATGTTCTAACCAACTGAGATACCCAGCCAGGGCCTGGATACTAATAATTTTAAATGCCCTGAAAGTCTTCACAGTAACGTTAATACGGTTCTTTCAAACCTCAGGGTTTTTTGCTTTATTTTTTAAACTTTTTATATGAAATAAACTTTCAGTCTTATAACTTCTCTCTCTTGCCCTTCCTCTCTCTTGCTAAAAATTAATAAACACATCTCTGATGAGGATTTAAAAAAACCTAAAGTCTACATTTCAAAATTGAATTTGAAAGCAAAATTACAGAGAAAATTCAGTGTTTACCCTATTCAGACAAGGTTTTGATTTCTGAGGCCAAAGAAAAATTATCTTTTTCTAGTAATACACATAATAATTACTTACAATTCAGAAGTGGGTACATACAAGAAATGTCAGACAAAAGAAAACAGCTTTTTGGTGGCACAAGGTATTTCTGTCCCATTAAAGTAATGATTTTTGTAAAGCTAGAGTTGTTTTCAACAAGCCGTAAAAATAAATCCTGTTCTGTAACAGACATATCATTTTCCATCAATTGTAATGTCCGAAGTTCCACTTCATTCAGAGAAGGCAAATGCTTTGCCATTTCACATAATTCTGACAAATTGCAGGTATCAAGTGGTAAAGTAATGGGCTCACTACACTTGTTCTGTTTTTCAGAAAGCGGATGAAGAAAGCCACTTTTTAAGCCTTCTTGGACTATCTGTGAAGATCCATTCCAAATCAGCCCTCTGATCTGTAAGAGAATATTTTTAAAGCATATTAAAAGGTCACTGACATAAAAGCAATTTTCTAAATAATGAAATTCCTATTGTGCTTTGAATATGTGAATTTTATGGATTGAAATCAACGTCTAAATGCTTACAGGAAGATAATATTATACTACAATGAAAAGATAAGAATGTGCAAGTATACTTTTCAAATCCAGTTTTCTAATTGGGGAATACAAACCTCATAAATTCACTAAAAATTAAATAATGAAACACCATCCAAGATGGCAGCAGGGTGGGTGGAAGCTACACTCAACTCCTCCCAGGACAAAACTGGAATTACAATTAAATTATAGAATGATCATCTTGAATAACTAAGTGAAGATTAGCTGAAGAGAAGCCTTATAGCCAAGGATTTATAGAAGAAACCACATCAAGACTGATAGGAAAGATGAAGACATGAACAGGGTTGGCCCGACTTGTACAAGTGGCAGCTGTGGCTCCAGAGGGATAGCTCAGCTGCAAGGGGTTCTCCCTGAGAGGCATGGGATCTAAGCCCCAAGCTAGGCACTCCATCCCAGAGAACCAAAGCTGGAAAGAGGTGCCCATATAAAGTCTGGCTGTGAAAACCAGGGGAGTTCCTTTCTGCCAGGGAGAGGCAGGAGTCTGCTAGAGAAAAAGGGCCAACACACACAATTTCATTCAAAGCCACTCAGCTTGGGCTTCAGTGGAAAGAGGGCAGAGCAGACTAGAATATTGGGTTTGTGGCTCTGGGGAGAAAGCTAAATGGACAGCTGCCAGGATTCCTGAGCTGAGTCTTTCACCCATTCGGAAAACACTATCTTTCTTGGTTGGAGCACTCCGCTCAGTGAGGCATCAGCTTGGGGGAAAGTAATAGTCCCACACTCTGGACTCCCTCTCAATCCACCCTGTGAAGCTTATGCCCTGCTGAGGAGTACACCCAGGGGCTCTTAAAGTGACTGAGCCTAACAGGTAGCTGGCAAATGGAGGCAGATGGCACTGAATCTCATCAAGGAGTCTTGGGAATTTGGTTGACCTGCCCCCAAACCTGGTGCTGGTAACAGACAACTTTTATGCACATCTTTGTACTTCCCATGCACATCCTGGCCCAACAGAAGCAGCCACAAATTATGGATTACTTGTAGCTCCAAACAGACTGCTAAGGGCCAGTCACAAACCGGGTCTGACATTGGCCTGCACCAGAGACCCTCTCAAGACTCCCAGAACCAAAACATCCAGTGGCCAGCTTTAGACAACATCAGAGCAGGATCCAATAAGCTTCACAACTAGTTTATTCAAAGGGAGATCTCCGCAGGCATCAAACTATGCCAAGAGGAACTCTGTTTCACATGGTCAGCACCTGCATAGCAGCACACATACCACAGTCAGGGTTCAATCTCCTTGTCAGATAGCCTGAGGGTCAATCCAGGCATGAATAGGCCAACGGTAATCAAGACTTGATTACAACAAGAGGGTCCACAAAACCCACACAAAACACATTCCTGAGCACCCAACTCAGATGATCAAAGAGACTGCTCCACTGGGCCACGGAACACCTACTATATAAGGCCACCCCACAAACACTGGGAGTCATAGAAGACCTACCTAATAAATAGAAACAAACACAAAAAGGCAGCCAATGGGGAGACAAAGAAATAGGTCACAAATAAAAGAACAGAAGAAATCTCTCCAAAAAAGAGCTAAATGAAATGAAGCAATTTATCAGAAAGAAAGTTCAATGTAATTGTTATAAGGATGCTCAACAATATGAAAAGAACATAGTAACCATAAAAAAAGGACCAATCATAAATGAAGAATACAATATTTAAAATGAAGAATACACTGGAAGAAATAAAATTAGGTTGAATGAAGCAGAGGATCATATCAGTGATTTGGAAAACAAGGTAGGAAAAAAACACCCAATCAGAGTAGCAAAAATAAAAAAATAAGTGAATAATTATAGTTTAAGTGACCTCTGGTACACATGATACATAACAACACCCACATAATAGGGCTACCAGAGGAGAGGAGAGAGCAAGGGACTGATTGAAAACCTATTTGAAGAAATGAATGAGTGAAAACATCCATAACCTGGTGAAGAAAAAAGCCACACAACCCAGAAAGCACACAGACTCCCAAACAAGATGGACCCAAGGAGGCTCAAACCAAGACACATCATTTTTTTAATTTTCAAAGTTAAAAACAAAGAGAGAATCTTAAAAGCTGCATGAGAAAGAAAACTAGTTACCTACAAGGAGCCCCCACAATGGTCAGTTGATTTCTCAAAAGAAACATTTCAGACCAGATGCAAATGGCATGAAATATTCAAAATGATGAAAAGCATGGACCTAAAACCAAGGCTACTTTACTGAGCAGGCCATCATTTAAAACTTAAAAAGAAATATAAAGAGCTTCCGACACATGAAAAAGCAAAAGGAATCTGTTCTCACCTAACCAGTATTACAAAATAAAAGATCCCATGAAGAAGAGGGAAGAGAAGGACAACAATGGGGAGAAGAAAAGGAGAAGAAAAAAACAGAGGAACATAGTTAAAAGTATATAGTGACAATAAATAGGTCCTATCAATAATCACTTTAATGTAAACGGCTTAAATGTGCCAATCAAAAGACACAGGTAGCTGAATGGATAAGAAAACAAGACCCATATATATGTTGTCTACAAGAGACGCACCTCAGAATAAGATACATACAGACTAAAAAGGAAAGGTATGAAGAAAGATTTATCATTCAAATGGAAATGAAAAAAAGCTGGGGTAGCAATACTTACATCTAACAAAACAGACTTTAAAACAAAGGCTATAATAAGAGACAAAGGACACTACACAATGATGAAGGGAGCAATCCAACAAGAGGACATAACCCTTGTAAACATTTGTGCACTCAATAAAGGAGTACATAAATATGTAAAGCAAATCTTGAATGATATAAAGAAAGACACTCACAGTAATACAGTCATAGCAGGGAATTTTAACACGCCATTGACATCAATGAATAGATCTTCCAGACAGAAAATCAACAAGAAAATGGCGACCTTAAATGATGAATTAGACAAGATCGATTTAATTGATATCTTCAGAGCATCTCACCCAAAGCAGCAGAATATACATTCTTTTCAAATGCACTTGATACTTTCTCTAGGATAAACTGCATGGTATGACACAAAACAAGTCTCAATAAATTTAAGATTAAAATCGTAACAAGCATCTTCTCTGAACATAGTGGTATAAAACTAGAAATCAATTATAATTTTAAAAAAACTAAGAAACAAAGACTTGGGGGCCAAATAACATGTTACTAAATTATAAATGGGCTAACAATGAGATCAAAGAAGAAATAAAAAGATACCTTAAAACAAATGAAAATCAGAACACAAAAACCTAAAATCTGCGAGACAGAGTGAAAGCAGTCCTAACAGGGAAATTCATAGCATTACTAGCTTATTTCAAAAAACAAAGCAAATCTCAAACACTTAAGAATAACTGAAAAAATTCAACAAAGCCCAAAGTGAGTAGAAAAAAGGAAATAATACAGATCAGAGCAGAAATAAACAAAACAGAGTCTTGGGAAAAAAAATACAAAAGATCAGTGAAACCAAGAGCTGGTGCTTTGAAAACATAAACAAGATTGATTAAGTCTTTAACCAGACTCATTAAAAAAAAAAGGAGAGGATCCGGATAAATAAAATCAGAAATAAAAGAGAAGTAACAACTGGCACAAAAGAAATACAAAGGATTGTAAGAAAATATCATTAATAAACTATATGCCAACAAATTAGATAACTGGGACAAAATGGATAAATTCCTAGAAACATACAATCTTCCAAAACTGAATCAAGAAGGATCAGATAATCTGAATAGAATGATTACAACTAATGAGATTGAAGCAGGAATCAAGAAACTCCCAACAAACAGAAGGCCTAGACTGGATGGCCTAACAGGTGAAATTTACCAGCCATTCAAAGAAGAATTAACATCTATCCTCAAACAATTCCAAAAAATTCAAGAAGAGGGAAGATCCCCAGGCTCATTTTACAAGGCCAGCATTATTCTAATTCCAAAACTAAGTAAAGACACTATAAAGAAAAAAAAATTAGAGGTCTATATCCCTGATAAACATAGACGGCAAACCAAATCCAGTAATATGTTAAAAAGATCATACAACATGATCAAGTGGAATTTTTTCTGAGGACACAAGGTTGGTACAATATCCACATATCAATAAACATGATATACCACATAAAATGAAGGATAAAAAACTACATGATCATATCAATAGATGCAGAGAGAGCATTTGATAAAATCCAGCACCAACTTATGGTTAAAAAAATTCTCAGGAACATGTTAATAGAGGAAATGTACCTCAACATAATGAACGCCATATATGACATACCCACAGCCAACATCATACTCAATGGGTAAAAACTACAAGTGTTTTATTTAAGGTCAACAACAAGACAGGAATGTCTACTTTCACCACTCTTATTCAACAAAATACTGGAAGTCCCAGCCACAGCAATCAGACAAGAAGAAGAAATAAAAGACATCCAAATTGGAAAAGAATAAGTAAAATCATCATTAACTGCAGATGACATTATACTGTATATTGAGAAGCCTAAACATTCCACCAAAAAACAACTAGAACTGATAAAGTAGCAGTACACAAAATAAATATCTAGAAATCAGTTACATTATTATACACCAAAGTGAACTCTAAGAAATGGAAATTAAGAAAACCAATTCTCAATTCCTTCTAAACCTAGCAATAAATTTAACCAAGAATGTAAAAGACCTGTACTCAGAAAATTAGAAGACACTAAAGAAAGAAACTGAAAAAGATATACTGTGCTCATGGATAGGAAAAATTAACATTGTTAAAATATACACACTACCCAAGGAATCTATAGAATCAATGCAATTACTATCAAGGTATCAACAGAACTAGAGAAAATATTCCAAAAATTTATATGGACTCCCAAAAGACCGCAA